AGATGCATGGTGAGATGGTAGGAAAACGAAGTGAGTTTTTGTTAGGTGTGGGAAGAATAATGAGGATAGAAAAGCCATAAATGATGAAGAAGAAGTTTGTCTCCCTCCAAACAAGCCTGATGTTGGCCATGCTTCTGACTTTTTCCCGACATGTCGCGGCCATTCATTTAATCAACCCCTCCCACTTTCTCTTTCACCCCCAACACAATGCCTCCCTCACCATGACGTTCTTCTTTCACACTCTCCTGCATCGCTTTCAATTAAGCACAATACACGACTATAACAACTCTTTCTCCACATTACCTACTAAGGTTAGGTTTCGTTACTAAAAAAATAAAAATAAATAAATAAAATTGCAATGAATTAAAAAAATAACAGAAAAATAAACTAAATCATCCCTTCTCCTCACAATAAATATAATAAAATTTAATAATTTATGCTACAAATGTGAGTATATTTTTAAAAAATTTCATCATTATGATTCACAACCTTGTAAATTAAATTACTTTTTTTTATGAATATGATTGATTATTTATTTTTATTTTTACTTTTTCAATCATTTTCATTTTATTTTGTTTTAATAATCAAACGTCACCTAAATTACGCTTGTTAATGTGAAATCCCTGAATCTTAAATCAAGCAATTTTATAATATGGACATCTTTTGCCGACCAAGAGATTGAGAGTGTGTTTGGATTAACTCTTAAATTAAAGTTAGGGTGGTCCAAATCTTCAGTTAGAGGATTAAAAACTCTTTATTCAGATTAAAATATTGTTTGGATTAAAAAAGCTTAAACGGACGTTAATAGCTGAACGGGCATTTTCACGGAAGCTGAGAAGACTAGCTTTTTCACGCAACATCAGGTGGAGAATTGGATACTGCAAATTCTTTCTCTCTCCTCATATCTTTACTTCTAAATCGCAATCCTCTCTTTGCATAGCCTCCCATCTTCACCAGCTCTGCTTTACACCTTAGTTCTCGCTGTCATCGCTGACTACCTATTGTGTTCGCTGCCGTTGCCCTTTTTTGAGGAAGTTAACGACGTCGTGATTGCTTCTGTAGGTTCTGTCAAGATTGCTTCGTCCCTTTTTTTCGTCGACTATATTGCTTGTTGTCAGTCATCATTTATGCTCTGTTTTTGTTGCTTTCTTTCATTTGTTGAGGTAGAGAGGGAGATAGCAGACGTGCTGGTGGTGGGAGAGGGAGAAGAAGATGGAGGGAAAGAGTGTATAAGAGGATGACACTGGTTTGTGGAGAAGAGGAGGAGGAAGAAGAAGAAAGTGCTTCTTGTGCATGTTTTTGAGTGTATGCACAGTGCACGCATTTGGGGAAGAACAACGTGTGTGTTTTATTTATTATGTTATATTTAATTATTATTTATGAATTAAGATATAGTAAAGGAAGAAAAAATTAAAATCTCATTTTATTATTTAATTAAAATATACTTCATTTAGTATAACCTTACATGTAAAAATTAAACAAAGGGAGAAAATATAACAAAATTAGATTATAAGTTTACAAATTAAGACCAAACTGTAGATAATATGAATTGAATATTTTATAATTTATAAATTAATTTTTTTGGATATTTTGAATTTTATTATTTAACCCTACCTTTTTAAAAATTAAGATTTTTAATTCATTAATGTATTTTATTTTTGTAATCTACTTTTTAAAAAAATTTTATTTTAAGCTTAATATTTTTTTTTAAAAATATCAAATTAATCACAAATATATATATATATATAACAAAACTTATGTATATTTTTATTATTATACATCTCAATTAGCTTTTAAATATAATCATTCAAAAAATTTTAATTTATTTAATTAACTTTAAAAAAATATTTAAATATAAATCACATTATAATTACGGACTTATTTTTATTTCAGTTTGTAATCTCAACTAAATTTAATCTCAATTATAAATTTTTTAATCTAAACATACACTGAATCAACAGGAACATGCCCCTGCGAGAGGGGTTGCTTTCTAGGCATCTATAATTAGTTGGCTGTTGCACCTAAAATTATATTTTCGGCTTGAGCGGACTGTCCCCAGTTGTGAAGTAGCATTATATTGATTAGGACCATGGCATGCCAGGTGTGATTGCATTTATTTGTGGGGTTCACGTACCCATCCATCGTTATCATTATTTGATCCTTTCGCCCAACCGATTCTTTAATTATTTTTCCTGATGCGGATGCAGTAGATGCTACATAGTCGATCCTTGCGTTCCTCTTTTGTAAAACATTTTCGTAAATAACAATAGAATGAATTAAGAGAGAGAGCCATTCTTATATATACTAGTAAAAATGAAGTTGGAAAATCTCATCTGGCAACCGGCACGAGGATAAGGGCCGAAGGAAATACAACAAGTACTTAACTTGCCATACTCTCTCACTAGAATATACCAAGAAAATCCGTGTGATGCTCGTGATCTGATCAGGAAGTTGCTATGGATTTACGTGATCCAAAATAATACGAGACAGCTCCTATCTATATAAAAAAATATAAGGTAGGGCGTTCTTACCCAATCATATATATGGGTCATGAAATCCATCAAGCAACGACAAGTCTCTGGAGAGAGTGGGGATGACAATGTGCTTAGGGGACGAAACAGGATTGTGCTTGTCAGGGCGTGTACAAGTTGTGTGGTTTTTTGTTAATGACAAGGAAATCCATGCACGTCTACCTTGGGCGTGTGGAAAATGATTTCCCCCCTCTCATGATCATCAGCATGCCTTTCATATAAGCCATCGCGGCACACTCGCAAGTATAATGTGGTCACGTGCAAGATTTTGGAACGAAGATCTCCATAGATTCTCGAACTGTCAAATTGCATTTCTAAATAAATGGTCCAATACGTGTGATCTGTGCCTAGTGTTGCCCGCGCCAATCAAACGAGCTTGAGGATCATGTTTGAGGGTGTAAGATACACATGGATGAACAGATAATGACCTGCACAGTACATCTCGTTGGTAGTATGTATTACTACTGGCTAGATTTCCATTACATCAACCGAAAAGGACAGGAAATGATTCTGAATAATCAAAATGAACAGGAGTTTTTCTTTTTTTAAGTACAAGGAGAAGAAAGTTAAAATGATTTCGGTTTCGACAACTTTTCTAAACGGTGACCGTGCACTGCAGATACCCCCAAGCTTTCCTCTTTTCAGACCACAATAATAATGCAGAGACTCCAAGCTTCGCTAAATGTAGTCATGACAGAAGAAAACAAGAAGAAAGATGATTATGTTGGAGTCTAAAGTAAATGCCTCTGGTTGGTGATGAACAAAATAGCAGGGGCAGCATTCATAATAACAATGGAAGGGGGGGGGTCCAAGTTCCAAAGTTCCAAAGTAGCAGAATCATAGCGTGGGCGACCAATTGAAGTTTACGTACTATCCAGTCTTTTTTCATTTGAGCAATGGAGAAATAAATGGGGTGGGCATCCAAATTTTAGTGTACTCTAGAGAGAAGTCGTGGCGGTCAGAAAAGTAGTGATGGAACCCGTATATAAGCCATGTTTGGCAAACCACATATTCATGTTAGGATTAATGAATCAAATACTAGTAAAGTACTGAAGTCAGATGCAAAGAGGAGGGGGATGGCTGAAGACTCTGGAGGAAGATTTGAAAACGTTAAGAAGCGATTTTGAATAGCAGAGAGTAGGGAGGACACGACAGTGCAGCTGCGTGGGGGCGGCCCTGGTGAATAGCAGAGATTAGGGAAATAGGAGGGAGGGTGCCAGAGTTAGAGTTGTAATTGAGGTGGAAGAATACAACTTTTGGGGCCTAGCATCCCGTGTATCGCCCACCTAGTTGCTGCAGGCTAGCAGCGTACCCTCTTTGTCTCTTACGCACGCCTTCCTCTTCCTCTTCCTCTTCCCCTTAATTAATTCTTTCGTTTACTTGGAGGGCATCGAAACCCGTGCAAGCACCTTGGCTCATCCTTTTCTTTGATCATGTCTGGATTTTGTGTCGTTGCCGTTCGCAGACCAGTAAGTCCCCAGCAGACCGAATCATGGAACTCAGATCTGTTTGGCAAATGGCCAAATGTTCTCTGCCTCCCTTATTTAATTACATGTTGCTTTGTTGCCTCGGCCCTTACGAGGTGGTAAGCCTGGCTAGTAGCTACCCTCAGTGTTTGACCCTACTCCTTGCCTTCATGGTACGGACTCATTCATCCTACTTTTTCCACTGTCTTTAAGATTCGAGTCAAGCTGCTTGGCCATCCATTTTACTAATAATTGACCCTTGATTGAGTCGCGCCTGTAACAATTAATAAAAAGAAATTTATCAGGATATTTTATAGTATTTTATCTGCCAAGGATAGTGGCAGTGAAATGCCGGAATATGAATTAAATGGAAATTATAAATAAGAAATCTCATTTATAAAATTTAACTCTCGTGAATTCATGATTTGAAATTAAAAATCTCATATTTACACTAAACTGCTATTCCATTAAGGTTTGGGGGAGAGACCCGGCTATCAATCGGATTTGAACAAACAATGATGAGCGATGATGCGAACGGCCACTGAAATGGGAGGAGCGATCTCCCAGACTGTGGTACAATCAAAAGTTCGGCCACGTGGAGGATGCTGACATCTGTTGATTCGTCCAATCGCCTCAGTTGCAGGTGACTCCCGACTTGACTCTAATTTTAGCTCTCTTGTCTTTTTTTTATTACAAAAACAATAAAGCGGGGAAAAAGCAAGTCAAAATTCTTAGAAAAGAAAAGTGGTGGTGGAGAATGGGGAGGGTACACAGTAGACACGGCAGGGCAGCGCATCTTTCTCGTCTTGGCTTTCTCTACTTTTGATGAAAAATGAAATGAAATATATGAATCACCTTCACGCACACATCTTCTTGCCTTTCTCTGCGTAAAGTGAGGCATCCCCTCGCTCCCTGCATTCTTTTCCAGTTGCCCTTAGATTGAACACATAAATTTACACATTTGCCCTCCAAAATCATCTTCCTCTACACAACGTACGAGAGATTTGCCCGATGAATAAAATTTCATTTGTCTCTCAATTCAATTCCTTGCTAACTAATACAAAACTGTACAATTTCTTTATCCACCCCACAAAAAGAAAAATCTACGATCATCTATCACTGGGAAACGTCCTATTCTGTTTCCACCTCTACCACTAACCTTCCTTCTCAACCGTTAAATCATTCCCACTCCTTTTCTTTCTTTTCATTCTTGACAAAAATTAAATCAAAAAATCTGACACCAAATTTCCCTCCGCCTTCCCTGTACAAAGATCTGCTTGCCAACACCCCGTGCCATCACAGTTCACAGAGCTGTATATTTAAATTTAAAATTTAAAACACAGCGTCATCCAAATCGAACCCGAGATCTCTGGCACTGGAAACCTCCCTTGCCTCGGCTTAGAACCCAGAACGGTCAACTTCAGGTCCACCTCGGTCCAAGGTCTCATAGGGGAGAGGTTAATTCCCTCAATTTTGTTGATGTCAAATCAGTCTGCACTTGTACCTGATGACAGATTTTTCTTTGGATGTAGCTACTACCTGTCTTCGATGAATATTCTCCCCACGAAATCACGGAATCTCTTGGAGTACAGCTTTGGATCCACGGCCGATATTGACGAGGGTTTGGCTTGCAACGATTTGTAGGCGTGCTCTAACTTCTTGCTGATATCATAATCCTGCAAGATGTCTATAATCCCAAAATACAAGACAACATCGCATGTCTCTCCACTTCGACTTGGGATCAATTGGCTGATTCCATCCATCAAGTATTGATCAAAATCACTCCTCCTTGCCATCGGCTCTGCCCTTGCCGGCATGTTAGCTCCTAATCTGATCAATGATTTCCTGAAACAAAAAAATTAAAAACCCATTGCACTTCTCAGCACTGGGAAGAAATTTGAAAAAACCAATCAAACAAACAACTGCCACGAGTCATAGCTTCAAGAATTTTTAACTAGATAGTGCAAACATGTTCAGAATCTTCATTCCTTTCACTATTGCCCGTGGTTCATTATACAGCAACACTTTGCATATATATAGAGGGGCAAATTCCAGAATGACAGGATGCGGAAACAAAATTCCGGAATGTCACATTGATTAACAATAATTATTGACTCCAATGGATAATAAAACTCTTGAAAAGCCAATAGGAAATTAAACATTCTCATCCTGTCTAACAAATTAGAACCAGCGATGGCTTGTGCCCCATTAACTGTTCTCATCATGCTCACAAGATCATTCAAAGCCCCTTCAATTATCCCAAGGATGAATTTTTAAAAAGGCAATCAAGATTCTAACAAGTCATACCGGCCAGATTTAACTCGATCCCGATCTTGTAGCTCTGCCTCAAGGAAGCGACAGCCGCGCATGAACTTCTCACTCTGATAAGAATCTCGCTTGCCTACAAGGGGAACACAACATTTTGTAACTAAATTTCTAATTCTAATGAAATTTAACCCTTGATTACCAAGGAATCAGCATCGCAAAGATAATCAATACCAGTGCGCAAAACAAACGGAGACAGCCCCATTTTGTCATACTTGTTATCTTCACGGAAGTGAAGGCCCACCAAAAGACTGTAATCCATGATTCCCTCTGCTTCCAAGAACTTACAATCCTGCTCAATTTGTCTGGCAGCCATGAAGGTTATATTAGCACGATTGTATGTCATAAAACTTTTAATAAGCTCATTGACAGCATGGTCTACCAGAAAGAAAACTGAGTGGCAACATAGAACTTACTTGATGAGCTTCTGAAACCAACATTGCTGTAGACGAAATACAAAATTGAGATCAAGATCTTTGAGGGTTGTAGTTTCATCAATCTCCTCTTCCCGCTTATCTATTGTACGGCCATGAGATGATCCCTTCAAGTCAAACCGTCTATGGATTGGATATTCCGAGCAGAAAAGATTGCCCATTACAATAAACCGGGTCTGGTTTCCAATAACAATAAGGTCAGGTACTGCGATGCAGAAATCAACTCAAAACAAAACTAAAATATATCCACTAAGCCAAGGCAAACCTTTTGGCCTCCAATTGGTTTGACACAATGCAATCCATAAAATTTTGTCAAAAGTGAATTTTCATATTGAGAAACATGTTGGTAATAGCTTAGAAGCATTCGAAGAAGCACCTGGAAATTAATCATAAAAATCAAAGAGTTTGTTAAGCATTCAAAGCAACCAAAGATTTGTGACAGTGCTACACAAGTGTAGAGCCAAGAGAATGATGGCTAAAAGTCCAACTTGTTCTGCTCAAAAAACTAAAACTACCTACAACCATAAATTGAATGGGGTAGCATATTTATTCGGCCATGGCAGGAGGTCTTATGAAGCAAGATATACAACTTATACTAATCACCCTATTCCCCAATGCGGCTGAAAGTTTCAAATGTAAAAAAAAAAAAAAAACAGATTTAGAAGCAAGCCCAAGAAATGGATATCCAACCTTGACTTCCGATTTCTTCACTGTTTTAATCATAAATCTGTCGTCTTGGGTCAAGTAGAAGAGGCTTCCACTCTTCCCCGGGGATGAAAGCTCCCGGAGAGCATCATTCCCGCATATAGCAGACATATAATCAACAGGATCCACCTGGAAAAGCTTCCTTACTTGTCTGAAATTCAAAGATGAATTCGATCAAGAAAGCAGCAGAAGACAGTAAATATCATGTTAGGGCGCATCAAATGCAGCGACCCATATTTAACCCTCCTCTGATTGGGCACCAGACCAGCCATAAACATGCAAATAAGCCATTAGCAGTTAGATATTATGGTGACCAAAAAGCAAGAAGCTAATACCTAAAGACCAAGGGGCAATAATCTTTCCAGCGGAACTCCGCTGACTGATGTGGTGGAGTTATCTTGGATCCTTCGGGCGGAAACCTCGTCCAGAACTTCTCCTTTGGATCAAAATCACTATGTTTAAGTTCACGCAATATTGAAGCTTCCTTCCCGATAGAGTACCTACACAAAGCAGAGACAGAATCAACACAACATCAAACAGGAAAAACCCGTAATCGGGAAACAGTAGACGGGAAAAGGCCTTCAGCCGCATTTCTAAAGCTTTACCTTATACCCAATTGTAGATTAATCATTAAGTCATAATTCTTATGCCCTTTGCATATTGTTTGCCCTGGTCGTTTAACCTCATTGGAGAAGCAGAGAGAATTGCGCCGAAACTGCTTTATCTCATGTCGATCAAATCCCGTTGCACGCTGATAGAACATGGATGCCTCCACATTGTCTATGATATCGCAAGTTATATCACCAGCTTCTCCATCGGATTCCCAAATGCATATCCTCGGGAAATTCTTCTCACTCACACTTCCTCTCGTATCGTCCATGGACGACGTCTTGCTCATTGTTATAGTAAAATTGTCAGTTTTGAACGGCCAGTTGCCCTTGAGATAGTGCTCTTTCCCATTGCCAGGGTAAAATGTTCCATTCAATTGCTGTATTTTCAAATCCTTGTTCCAGATGCCAATATAGCAACTCCCATCAGGCCATGTGAAAATCCCCTGCCCTTTCGGAACCCCGTTCTCCCATTGCCCTTCATAGCGATTCCCATTCGTCCAAAGCAACGAGCCTCTTCCAGACATCACGCCGTTCTTCCACTCGCCCACGTACTCGTTCCCATTCTTCCACACATACCTCCCCTGCCCATCCTGCAAGTTCCGCTTCCACGACCCTTCATAGAAATCGCCGTTGGCATAGCGCTTCTGGCCCCATCCGTGTTTCCGATCTCCGATCCAGGCGCCCCGGTAGGTGTCGCCGTCAGATCCAACAAAAGTCCCGAATCCCTCCATCCGACCCGATTTGAATTCCCCTTCATAGGTAGCCCCGGAAGGCCAAGAGAATTTGCCTTTCCCGGCCGCCTTGCCTCTCTTCCACTCACCCTCGTACATGCACCCGTCCGTCCACAAGTACTTCCCGGATCCGTGTGGAACGTTCCCAGAGAAGGTACCCACAAAATAATCACCGTTGGGCAGAAGATTCTCAACAATGGAGTTGGCAGTACCAGCCCCAACGGGTATTCCGGTAGGTGTGACCCTCCGGGTGCCGGCCTGGGAGCGATTCCGGCCAACTACAAGAACAGGTGGAGCGGGCTTATGGGCCTCCTTGTCTACCTTGGCGGCGTCAAACTTCTTGATGGTAGTGGCGGAAGGGAAATCAGTGGAATCGTGAGGCAGCAGCGGCTGGCGCATTTTGTGGTCATGTATAAACATCCGACAATTAATGCATATGGGAGCAATGAGGGTTTGTACGCTGCCGGAGAGTATCTCAACTGCCCTGCACTAACGTCGCCGGAGAAGTTGAGAAGGGCGAGTCGTTTGGGTCCTCTTTTCTGCCTTTTCCTTTATCTCGAGGGTTGCTTTTGTGAGCCAAAAAAATGAGTGGGAATCCTCCAAGGTCCAAAGGATGGCAAGAGAGAGAGAGAAAGCGGGAGGAGGGGGCTACGTACTTCGTATAGTGTGCAAACAGGGACTGCAACGCGTAGATTACAGAGAAGGGTATTGCTGCGGCAACGCAAATGAGGGGAAAAGATGAGAGTTAAATACTTAAATGGGTCGAAATTTACCAATAGAGGCCGCTTTGCCCTCGGGATCTCGTTTCTTACCATTAGATCCTACTCCACCCAAGTGCCTCATAAATACGGTTACATTTATAGTATGTGCGATCGGTACCACCTTGCATTGGCATTGATTGTATTACGAATATACCCTCGCTTCTTTCCCTCGGAATTCTCTGTCGTGTTATGCGTAAGTAGCTAGTACCGTACCCGTTTCTCTCTTTCCTCTTCGGTTTGATCGTGACGTAATGGAATCGTCAATGATATCACCACTCGCAAGACAGGCTTAGAAGGGTGTTTAGTTCTGAATGACTCAAACGCCCCTCAACCTTCATTTTATTTACCAATCTACTATGTGCCAGTTTTGATGGGTTTGTGCTGGGTCGTCGGAGAGAGTCCAAGGTTAGAAGCCAAGCTTAAGACTTAAGAGAACGTAGGTGAGAAGGGAGGATTGGGTAGGCAATTTGAAAGAAAGAAACCATTAGAGAGGAGGAAAACGACGGTCGAGTGGGATGGAGCCATGTTTGGACCTCTCTGGGCTTTGATGGCCCAATTTTGGCATTGCATGCCTTGTAGATAGGAGGCATGCGGGTCAAAATGAAGTCGTCTGCATGCCCATGTTTCTTGGCTTTTTCCCCTTATGCTGTAACTAAAATTCTTGGCACGTTGAACGATTGAAACATGCATAAGCACTGGACAAGCGATATAAGTTGATTTGATATCGAGGTTTTGTTGGCAAAAAGGCCCGTGGGGGGGGGGGATATCGTTTTGCTACGATGTGAGAATCTCCATGAGGATGATTCATTAAATGTTATAAGAGGGTATAAATACTGTAATAAAATGGTGCTGTCCCTGGTGTACACGTCACTTGAGAGAACTCGCAATACATCGTTAATTATGCCACGTGAATATACAAAGAGAGCCCCTATTGTGTGTTTATAGAGAACATTACGTAAAACTTAAGATAGCACCATGACTAGTTAAACATATGAAATCGTCACTGTGATGTTAATTTGAATGAGTGTGAATTGAATGGGGATATGCGCGTGGATCATTTTTGAGGAGGGGACTCGGAATCCGCGCGAGTTAGTAATAAATCTCACGTGGAGGTGTTGGGGCCGTATTCATGTAGGCGTCTGCGTGAGTCGTTGCTTGATCAAAGTAAACGCTGTGTGGCTCGTGCATGGCCAACGCGCTGCACAGAACCAAACTATGCAGCCTGGCTTTTAATTGATTAATTCAACCACCTCTCATCAATTACACATTAATTGGCCAGTCCCACCCGTTTATTTCTTCCATTCTTTTTACTTAAATTTGTTGACTCCTACGCGCGCATCTTCGAATTCCATCAATCTCATGTCACTTGTTATCCCACCCGCAACCTCACATACCGTGCCATCTAATCTTCCTACGTTAACTCAACGACGGTTGATATTTTATGGCTTCATTCGGCAGCCATCCCCCGCTTGTGCTATCAAACCAGCTCAACCTTAGTAGCCCAGTTTAGTATGGAGAATTGTTTTCGTGAGAAGTAAATGTAAAAATTAAAGTGAAAGTAAGTTTAAAAGTATGTTTGGTATGTAAATAAAAGCAGAATGAAAAATTATTTAATACAAGTATTTATATTTAGAAAATACCAAAATATCCTCAAAATTAAAAAAACGAATTGCAGCCCATATGGATGAAGAATTGAAGATGCAAGCGTGTGACATTGGAGAAGGTGACAGTCTGACAGAGGGAGCATTGAACGAAGAATTAAAATAGCTTACAATTAAAAATAGAGCAAAATTCTTCCATTATTTGAGCGGAGCCAACAAAGAAAGCTCTTGAAGCTATCGATTATCGTAGATGGAACTGGCATCTAAAGGTAGCAGCGGAGGCAAAGGTGATTGTGGTGGAGGGCTTTCCTGGTTCCGTTCAACGCTGGTCGCGTGGTTTATTTGAAGCATGCATTGCTTAGGGAGGGAGATGAAGAAGGCCAGCCCATTGGATACCTCCCAACTAATGCTTCACTCGGTTGCTTGTTACATGCACTGATAACTTGTCTAGACATACGTCGTCTTTCAATTTGCCAGCAGTTGGTGGAAGCGATTTTGATGCTAGGCCATCGTCAAGTGGATTTACCAGGCAAAGTAGTTCTCCGGCAAACTTACTCAGAAGGGAGTGTGATGGGCAAAATGGTCATATTATAAAGTTCTAAAGAAGTGTGGAAGCTGGTTCTTTATATGTGTGTGGGTGTGGAACTCAATTCCATGACATTTGATAGAATTATAGAACTCGTTTTCCCAGGCACTCCTAATATACAAAATTGCGAGTTCCGCTTCTACTTCACTTCTCTTCCTCCAAGTCACTATATGACGAAACGGTAGTGCTTTATGCAAAAGAACTTTTAGAACAAAAAGTAAACCTAGAATCACTATATCTGCATGATAGTGACCGAAAGATGGTCAAATTTGCATATGTAGGACACACTGATTCATGGTAAAACAATAATTTAAAGAGAAATAGATTGTAGAATTGCACCGTGGATAGATTAATAAGCATGATTAATTTACATGGTTTTAATGTTGAGAATTGTAACCATGCATGCAAGTGAGGATTGTGAATGAAAATTTGATTTGGAGTGTTTGCTGCATTACAAAAAAAAAAAAAAGTATGTATGGATGTATGATCATGATGATCATTCACGATGATGGCTCTGTGTAGTGGGATGGATCTTGAATTGGAGAGATCGAGGAGGAAGGGGGTCCAGCTAACATGGGCATGGCATTCAGTTTTGGTGCTCATTAGGTGCTGATAAGCACCTGATGAGTAGATTTATCAATTTTATTTTATATTTTAATATATATTTATTAAAATATAAATATAAAATTTTATTAATTTTATTTTTTATCAATTTGAATAATAATATAATTAATTTGAATGGTCTAATTTAATATTAATTTTTTTAAAATTTTTATGTATTGATTCTCTATATGTATTCTTAAATCCAATCTGTCCAAAGTATATTTAAATAGTTAATTTATATAAAATAAAAAATTAATATTAAATTAGATTATACAGCTTAAATTTATATTATCCAGAGTAATGATAAAATAAATTTATTAAAATTTTCCAATTTTTTATAATAAATATGCAAATAAATTTTAAAAAAATTTATAAAACCTGAACCGTCCAAATTAAAAATATGGACGGTCCAGACGCTGAAACCAAACGCCATGGGCATGGACTTGATTCCATGAAGGCGCCTCCCACGCATCCACGTCATGGTCGCTTTCGAACACATCATACATTGCCATTTTACTCCTTAGCATGCACATCGCTCCCATGTTGCTTTGTTTCCTACTCCATCCCAACCCCACTGCCTCTATCTCATCCCTACCTTTAATCTATTCATTCATATATCCTTTCTTTGTTTTTTTTTTTTTTCATATCTCATTCTTCACAGCCAGCTTCTCCGCGCTTATATTATTAACTCGTTGCTTCTATTTATTTATCCCATCCAAATCACCTAATGATATCATTTACATGTA